TTATAATCAGACGAACAGTGTTGCCAGTCTTGTTTGAACTGACCTATCATACGTTGCGATCACTGGAGACGAGCACACGATGAAGGTGAGGCTGTGATGTACTCATTGGCACATATTGCTCTTACCATGACCAGCTCCATCAGTAAACGTGAACCTTCCCCAGTTCTCATCCGACACTTGATTTTTCTTAGAACTATTGACAGAAATGTGAAGTGAAGCCAAGTTAACTCCTGTCCCGAGACAACCTGACGCTTCACGAGGTATAAGTCACCCACCTACACCACAAAGACGAACAGACAGACAGACATACGGACCAACACACACACACACACACACGTCGTTGAGTAGTAAACACATGCCTCACATTGACTCAGTTTTAAGAATGCATATTAGGTTTGCCACTCAAGGTTCGTCTCTATTAACACTCCTGGTAATTATATGAATCTGAAACACACACACACACACACACACACACACACACACTTGTACACACACACACACACACACACACACACACACACACACACACACACACACACACACACACACACACACACACACACACACTTGTATACTCAGCCAATTTAAACGTTCCTAAGATTTCTACACTCCGGACAGGCAAGGAGGTGCACAGTGGACACCAGACTACCGACGTTTAATTAGTGAACGCAATAAGCCCTGTGGGATTTTTCCACAGCTCCCACCATGTCTAATATGCTTCAGTATGAGCGTGCGAGAACCCAGGCTGTGAGGATCATTCAGGAATGAGAGAGAGATTTCGTTTCTACCACTATCCAGGATACACCTCTTCCACGGCATAGTCTGTGGTCCACGATAAACCGGATCACCAGAGGAATTTCATCCCTCGGTAGTCTGCAGGGACGAAATATCGGCGATCCAGGACAGCCGCCACACCTGGTCGCACTATCAGAACTGCCAGTACCTCGGACACTAACCATCCTCGCTTACTCGTTTCTTGCAGCGTCTGTATCGATGATGATAATGATAAACACAAATGACACTGACACATTCCCCGCTGATGAACTCTTCCTGGTTGTGAAATTATGTAAGAGTAGAAATTCCGCACCTGACCTGCCCAGCTTCGACGGGAGATGATTTAAACCTTAAGTCTTCAACAAGAAATTTTTGAGAACTTGCTTGACGTGTTTAATGAGTTTAGTGGTCCAAAAAGGTTCCTAATTTAATGGCGCTAGCTCTTGTCATATTGATTTTGAAGAGGAACAAATGTCTTATGTATTTTTTTACATTGAAAAGAAGTCAGTCATAACCTGACTGGCTGGTACATTCGGGAAGTTTCGTTCTTTAGGTTTACGAGGAAATTTACATCAGTGTCAACAAATCCTGAATAAAAATATTTGCTGTCAGCCTTTCCAACACCGTCACTTTGGATACATTAGTCCGGGAAAATGTAGCGCCACAACACAGCTTTTGGTCCTTTATTATTTGTTTATTGTAAATAATAATTTCTTATTACCAGCTTCTAATTTACGAGTTTTTAACCGCTCAAGGATTGTGTCTGGCGGCTTTTCACACTAAGGGGCTGGAGGAAGGCCGGATTACCTGCCAAGAACAAGGAGCAGTGCAGTACAGTCTTTAATATCTCCTTTGCGTGAATATAGTATTACTTGTAAACAAAACTATATATTAATAAACCTGAATTTGCTTCGCCTCGATTAACTTTCAGCAACTCTTTATAAACTCAGAACACTGGCATTTCAGTCTTCATTTACAAGTGAATTGACTTAGATTTTAGTGCACACAGAAGTTTTTAAGATTTTAGTGCACACAGAAGTGTTTAGTCTATAAACCTGTGAATTATTAATATCATGAATTACTAATTAGAGTACATAAATGCTGCAGGTATACAAAGACTGTAGGTATATAAATAATGTCCATAGACAGTGTAGGTATACAAACAAATTACATAGACACTGGAGGTATACAAACAAGATAATAACATGACAAAAACAAGAGACAGTCACTCACTAACACTTCATCTTACCCGGACAGTCACTCAAGCATCCAACAGTCTACAGTTACCTCATCCGCATACCTCGCCTCGTTGCACTCACTCGCCCCTTCCCCTCCCCCTCTCCTCTCTCCTTTCTTCGTGCACGTAACCTCTTGAAGAATCCACACCATTTATCATGAAACTGTACAAAGGCATCAGAACTACCAGGTGGTGAAAAGGGTGGTGGGGGCTAACCTTTGGGAATTTAAAATACAGCAAAAACAAAAAACAAAAAACCTAAGAATTTGTAGATTGTAACAAATATAAACAAAGGTAAGGTACAGCCTTGCCAGACGTACAATACCCGTAGCTTGTGTTCTGGGACGTCTCATACCCGTAGCTTGTGTTCTGGGACGTCTCATGTCAAGAGTTTAATCAATTGTAAGCTAGTAATCTGGGTGAATTTATGATGGTAAGGCGTTTTTTTGGTGTGATATCAGTAAGTGTTTTAAATAATAGTTACAGTATACTCATGATGTGTTACGTGTACAGTGTATTAATCCTGAGACAGTGACGTGGGAATTACTGTATATACCTGGTATGTTCTGGTAATTTATGATGTGTGTTTATGACTTTGACAGTGCCTCCCTCTGAATGACCTGACCTGACCTTATCTGACTTTACCTCACCTAACTTAACCTACGTACTGCTAACCAATCCTAACTTATCCCTTCTCCCTATTTAACCTAATCTAAACTAACCTAACCTCACCTAAGCTAACCTACCTCTAACTTACCCTAACTTAACCTGCTGTTAAGATTTAAACTCACAAAATTTACCACACGTTTCTGTTGCTTAAGAATCGAGTTTTGGTTCAAGTTATTCATGGAGTGATTATCAAAATGTTATTGAGAATTATATACAGTGTATATAGAAAACCGTTTTTATCACGATTATTGTCTCGGTATTTTCGTTAACATATTGAGTATTCTTGTTCCAATATGGCGACTGGATAGTTCTCAACCAATGTGTAGTGTAGTCTACCATAGTAACGTGAGAAGTCGTGTCCCAGCACTAATATATACAGTAGATCCGGATTCTCAGCAGCTCCGATAGCTCGTACCATCAGTGTTCTTCCCGCTTGGAGATGTGAGAGAGCATCTATCAGGCCCACTTGATGAAGATGGCGTCATAAACATGATCAGATTCCTACAGGTTTTTTTTTTACGTTGGAACTTGAATGTATTACCTTATTAGAGGCGCCAGAGTGTATATGTAACTTGCTCTCTTCAAGCTCCTGTATCTAGATGGCCGAATTCTTAAAAGTTTCTACTTTAAGATGACCGAATTCTCAAAAGTTTCTTATCATGTTCAACAGTGTTTCTGAAGCTCACTCCCGCCACAGGAGGAAGAAACAGTACAACACCTTCCTTCCTGGGGCTGGAGATTACAGAGAGCACATCTACTGTAGCTGCCAAGCTTTAGCTGCTGCGTAAATAAAAGTTCAGTCAATATTTTATGCACTTGTTTAAGCTACTATTATGACGCACTTTTTTTCATTATAACTATTTTCAAATTAGTATGTGTTGCTAGGGTAATTTTCAAACTGGGTAAAACTATACAAGGATATTGAGTAAGGATAAATGAACTAACCCCATATTATTTTTTCAGAAACCAATGCTTTGGATATTAACACCCCTTGCTAGACTCCTTATCCACTACCCCGTCACACAGTCAAGATACGGAACTGTGTATAAGAGATTCCCTCCTGGTAAAGACGAGAAACAAAACATTCCAGAAGTGAGTGTTAGTTGTGCCCCTGTGTTTCCAGTGTGGTAAGCCAATTGTAACCTTAGATTTAAATCAACTAGATCGTGTGTGTGTGTGTGATGATTGCTTGTTGCGTGTTGGTATAATAACTGTGATTATCTTTGTAGTTCAGCTTCTTGCTAGCCATGATTAGTGTATTTGTAATGTTAGTGAATTTCCTGCTTGATGTTATCCTTTAATTTTGAATATTTAGTACATTTATGTTTCATTTGTATGTGTGTACAGTATGTATGTATGTATGTTGCATTGTCTTATAGATTTTTCTGATGTGATTCTTTAGATTATTAAAATACTGCTTTGTCTAGGCAATATTTTCATTGAATCTTCCAAAAAATGTTCACTCGTTTACCCCTCCCCCCAGAAGAAAAAAAATACTCTTCCAGGACAGGTTAATACTGTAATAACTTATCGAGCTGACAAGATTTTATGGATATTGTTTCCTCGTTAAAAAGATCCGGGTTTAAGCAAATCTGTAAGAGTTAATGAACCTTGTGGTAGCATGTTGCCTCTCTGTCATCACTACCCGGATGTCTTAGTGAGAACCATTATGCTCTGGTCAGTCTCATGTATTTATAGATGACTGTCCGCTCTGCTGGTTGTGTGAAACGACAGGCAGATTAATATTCATGGTGTGTTTATATGGGAAAATAGTACTAAATTTATGGAGAAGACAGGGTGAAGAAAAATAACGAAAGGTATTTAAGAAATGAGGAAGATGAGAGGAATGCGAGAGAAATAAACCAAAACAAACACGTGATAGTGGTTAGATAGAAAGCAAAGATCTACTTTTTTCTGGGGACTTTTAAATTCAAAGTGCTGTCTGTACAAACATTAATTATATACTTACACTGTCTGTTTACACTGTTTACATCTACTGTATACTGTACTGTCTATGTACACTGCATATCTACTTTGTTAATCTTACTGAGTACCTGCTGTAAACTGTCTAAACACATTAAATACCTGTTCTGTATACCTGCACACTCTCTGTACTGTATTTGGTGTACCGGTGTGAACTTGTATGGCAATTTTACTAGATACCTTTGTACTTCTCTATCTCTCTACCTCTCTTTTTATTTAGCTGTCTATCTAGTGAAAATATTTGGAATTCATCAAGAGAGAGGTTTAAAGTCGGCGGTGGCGGCGCGCCCTGACACTGCGCAGGCGCCGCCACCCACAATGCACCGCTGTATTTGTCAGTCAGCTTTGGTTCAGCGTCGTGGTGCTACTGACGCTCCTCCACCCCAGATTGTCCACATATTTATGCCCACTGGGAACCCGGGCCATCACAGTGCCTGAGAAATCCAATAGAGCCTGAATTGAGAATCTTATTTATAGATATTTACTCGGAGAAAGTGAATGAGTGTATGAAAATCTGGTAGTGTTGTGTGGAGTGTTGGGTGAAGCCTGTGTTGATAATGCGGTAGCAGGGAAGAACAGGGCGGGCTGAGGTGTTATTTAGCGCGGCTGTGATCACCCTGGTGGGGCAGGGAGGGGCAGCAGTGAGGGCAACACTCCCGTACACCCACCTACTACAGTACCTCCTCGCTCTCCTCTCTTAACATCCGGGAAGTGTACCACAGGATGACAGGTACGCCCACACCGCCACACGCCCACATCATCACCACCACCACGCCCAGACACTAGCCATCTCACCCATATTATATCGACTACTTCCACATAGCAGCTACCACGCCCATTATAGAACTACCACACCCACTGGCGACACACCACACCGTCACATGTAAACACCACCGCAGGTCATGTGTACACCGGCCACCATCACCACACACTCAACACCAGTTTAACAGTTACTTTACCTATATTTAGATTTGTGTTCAATATATCTCTTTATTTGGTAATGTTGTAGTGTGGCTTGATTATTGTATGTGGAAAAGTCTTGTCAAGAAAAATTATTTTTTTCTTAATTTTTGTATATACAGTATATGGTATTTTAATAACTAAATCTATTTTAATTGAAAATAAAATGTCAGATTTGCAGATGAAACATTAAATATTGAGGCAGTGTAATTGTGTAACAACTGAATTGACAGGAATGTCAGGAAAATGAGGGAATAAGATGTTTCAATTTTTTTATCATAAGCTTATTTCAAGACTTTTTAAGTCAGGGTTATCAGCTGAACACCATAGAAGTGTCGTTAGTAATTATGAAGATCAGTATTGTGGTCCATTGTCATGATGATGGCTGCAGTCTCATGCACTGTTAAGACGAGCAAAATGTGGAATGAGACCCAACCTAACCTAAAAAAATATATATTAGAAAATTTAGGGTTGATGTTTATGATTTTTACAGGAAAAATGAATTCTAGAAGCTATAAAGTTTTATAGAACTGGATGAGCAAAACATATGTAGCCAGTCACCCTCACTAGATGACACGAGTATAGGCACAACACTACCGGTAAGCCTTTGGTCTAGACCCACGAGACTTGACAATCACTACTGGTACCTCCTCTGCTGCATATGATGGTTTTTAGGCATTTGTCCCTAACAGATAACCTCCCGGTTCTCTCTCTCTCTCATTGTACTACAGTATTTTGGTGGAGCTGTTCAGTTCACAGAAAATATTTAGCTAGAAGTTTACTTTATTTCATGTTTCAAGTGCTATTCACAGTTTGCTAGTGATCCCGTTTGGGCGCCAGCAACACTCATTCCATAGTAAGACATCTGATATAGGGTAATCTGTTGAACCTAGTACAGTATATCTAGCTATTATGAGTTATTCCGTACCTAAATTTAAAATTAATTAGCTATTCATGTTTCTGCCTCAAAAAATTACAGGAATTGAATTTTGGAATTTGTGTTACTTTTTGTTGCTGAAGACGAGTCTGGCACATATGAACATCTCTCACAGACTGCTGATGCTGTTAAGGGTGTGTTCAGAAGTAAAGATAAATTAATTATAGTGGAGAAGCCTTTATCCTGTTCATTAATGTATATAGGAGTTTTCCATTTATTTCTTAATTTCCCCTTTCCTGATTATCTGGGAAAATATCACTCTCACTGCGAGGTAACGAAAAGCATGAAAAAAATAAATAATGAAGTAAGAGTAACTGCTGATAATTGTCTAAGGTAAAGTAAAAGATATGAGAAGAAAATTCACCCACAAGTAACACAAGAAAAATAAATATGGTACATTAACAATTTTAGCTTGGTAATGATGGAATTTTACCTTGTTAAATACCATCCACTTTTTATTAAGGATTTTACAGTTCTGCATGACCATATACAATGTTCTAGAATCTTCTTTCAAAAGGATATTACTGTAGTTGTTTTGTTCCACATGAGATCTTACAGGAGCTCATCAGGTCTGGTTTGTTTGTTGTTTGGTATTAGATTGTGTCATCAGTGTGAGTAGGTCATTTTAACCTTCCCCCAAAGTCTCTATATGTGTGCTCCCACTGATTAGAACCCCCACACATAAAGGGTAACTCAGAAGTCCTGCACAGTTGATAATTTAACTCAAATAGGTAAACAGAGTCACCCTATTCTCATTACACCCATTACCCCATCAGGTGCACCAGCTGTACCCTAGTGGCAGGAGGTATTATTACAAGTTGTGTCTGACCAATCAGCAAACTTTTCTCTAAAACCTGTGGCTCTGCTAGCTTGTTCAAGGTAATTCAACATCCTTGAATCAATTTGTTACCAAGTGCCAACTACTGGAGAAGTATTTAAATGAGACTGTTCGTAGTTGACATGTTTATTGATCTTTCAGAGTCCAGGTTAGTGTGTAGCTATGTCAGGATGGGTGCCTGTAGTTGTACAGCCATGTACCTTGTGATATGAAATTCACTAGCTCAGTACCTCGGTCTATATTGTATACAGTACTCTATGTACATTTGTTTTTTTTGGGTCCGACTAATTACCCGAATGTACCCAAATGTAGCCAAATATAGCCGGAATGAAGTCAAATAATGGTCCTAGATGAATAAATCGGACTGCCAATCACTTCTCGACTAGTATTTGGTGTCAGAAAGTCACAAAAAATTGGAAAACTTACTTTAATCTGAGTTAATAGATCGCGTGCATAGAGCAATGAGTAGAAGCATTGGGTTGCCCAAGTATTGAAGGCTTAAGAATCTTATCATTGCACAACTGGGAACACTCCACACATGTAACATGTTCAACCATTACCCCCAGGTTCAGCCTCTTTTTAGTTCCCAGTTACACGAAGGATTGCAAGAAGACAGGTAACTACTGTATAGCTTACTAGCTTTAACAGTCATAGAAGTGATGAACCACAAGCTGGACCATTTCACGGACATCCCTTCCAACCTCATCAACACTGTACCGTACTTGTTGCTACTGTTGGCAAGGGGATCTCTGTGAAATACATTGTTCCTGTGATGCTGATGCCCTAGTTGGAAGCTGTTCTTGCCCACATGAAGCCTGCACTGGGGGACTGTGCCCTTTCTGACTGAAACTCCTGTTTCTTGATACACTTCATGTTCATCGACAACCCCCAACACTATTGTATTTCCCCCTCACAGAATACATTAGGGACACACCTAAGGAATGCATGCCCTTGTCAAGAAAGGCACTTCCTTTGACTTGACCCATGATGACTCCGCTGTTGATGTTCTTGCCTATGTGACTCGCACCACATCCTCCTTACAAACACACATGACATTTAACTATAATTGGGACTGACCAAACTTTTTTGCTTCCTAACTGATAAGGGAAGGTATTATTCTGAGTATTTTTTCATTTGTCATTCAACCTATTCTATATTGTATGTAACTTATTATTGTATGGTATGGCCTCAGGAACTCACACCATACATCATCTCTTGTCTAAAATGGCAGCATGTCCTCTTTTGGGTGCTTGTAGTGCTGGACAGACACTTGTTCCTCTCAGTTCCTGGTTGAAGTAAATGTTACCTCACTATATAATTGTATCTACCTGTACTGTATATATATACAGTATATGGTTATAGCCTAATATATAACCTAATGGTTGCAGATGGAAGGTTTAACCAATTCAGGGATTGATTTTCTAGATTAGTTAGCTGAATGGATGGCCCTGTGTAGCACCAGTCACAGTTGAGGTCCAAATCTTGGGTTTTCAATCCCTTGATTTGTGCTTGGATATAAACTGGGATTTCAGGATCAATACTGTGTTTAGTCTGTTTTATTCTAACAACCAGGTGGCTGCAGGGCTAGAAACAGTTGTTATGAAACATATTAGTTTTTATTACAATATTTTTACTGAGATTTGGTGGAATACCCTGTGTTGTTAGTGTTATAGTTATTAGTGACATAATTTGGATATGATGGGTCATCAGTGACCATCACATTTGGAAGATCAGTCTGGTTTCCATCATCTTCTGTGTTGTTTCAAGAATGTCATGTAAAGAGTAAGGCAGTGGTGGTAACACTCTTTTAATAAGGTCATTGATTATGAACCATTGGTTTTAAGGGTGGCGACCTCAGCTTAAATCTCCAGCATCACCGTGAACACCATTGAACTCACTCAGTGGATTTGCACCCTTCACTTGCTTGGCCTAAAGGGGATGACGTCTTCCTTGGACTTCCTATGGGTCATTTTACTGAATTCAGTCCTTCAAAGTGAAGCGTCTGCATTAGTGAAGATGCTCATTGCTTGATAGTTTGATGAAATTTTCTTAACCATTGGACTTTGTGCCACGCGAGAACGTAAGAGTTATATGGGTATAGTTATTCTTTACCCTGGCTCCTGGGATAAAGGGTGTGAGTCTCTCTAATACTTGGCACTTCATGCTGACATTTGGCTTGAGTCTTGTGACTTGCACTAAAAGATAGGGTTTTGAAATAATTTTCTCTGATAATTCTAATTAGGGTTGCACATAACTGACGTTTGCGTTGCATATGACCCCAGCACGACATACGTAGTCTATTTATAGGAGTATGATAAGTTGCTCTATGTGTTCTGAACAGCTGCATTAGGTGTCCTGTATGTGATATTTGCTGTGCATGTAACTGCTTTGATCCAAGGCATTATCAAGCATGTGTAAAGATTTTAGATGATATTCTACTTTATGGAACAGATTAGGTGAAAAATTTTGTTTCCAAGTGATTGTGTGTGAGCTTTTATCTCTCCAAAAAGTGATGTTTTTGTTTTGTCCAGTCAGGAAGTAGGAGACAAATTTATTTTGGAGAGACTGACTGACTCGCAGTTACTGGCCGCAGGACAATCAACTCCTTTAGGGATGGTCGGTTATTGGTGGGGAAATCTCTGCTTCAGGATTAGATATTCCAATTTCTATAGCATGTGATGATTTGAGGTCAGTGATGAGTGAAATTAAGATGATTGACTCTGAAGGGGTATTTTTGAAGACTGATTGAGGAGGCTACACAATATATTAAGACTTAAGAAAAGCATGTCCACTCCCTGACCTGCCACCTTTATGGTCTGTGAAAGGTGCTCTTGGACCTTGGTGATGAACTTGTTGTTGGAACTAGGATGTGTATGGTATGGTGTCTGCATCTTGTTGACTCATATGGAGGTTTGGTGAGATATTTTATGTTGTGAAGAATCTTTCTTTCCTGAGTTCCTTCCCAAGTTTATATACTGTATATATAAAAAAAAAA